GTAAAACTAGAAATGAGGGTCAGTGGTTCCAGCAGGGGGCGATGATGAATGTTTTAATGTGGTTCAAGAGGGCCAATTTCTCATATTTTCCAACCAGAAAGACCCCCAGTTACTCATATGAAAGAAAATAGGGAAATTTCAGCGTCTATGCACAAAATTAGCACGCCTACGAAGTGCTGTCAGTCCTGGTGGTGGCTTTGCATTGAATTATGCTCCTTTATAATAGTACCTAAGGGATTTTTTTGCCAACAAATAGGCTGTGTTTTTAGATAAATACCCACACCCACTCGTCACACCCTCAACCACAGTTAACCAAAAAAAACACTGATCTTTCAATGACTTTTCAGTGGCTCATTGAGGATTATCTGAGTAACACTAAGGCAAAATATTCCAGGTGAATAGAGTCAAAAATTGACTAATGGGTAACACTACTTTCTCAATTTGGTAGATATACTCAGGGTGTGAATTACAGGGGGTTTGGGGGGGGGATTGACCCCCCCTTATTAAGGTTTGGGGGGGGGGGGGGGGGGTCCTTGATATCTGAGAAAAAGTTCACTCTGATCTGTATTTTAAATAATAATGTTGTTAATAATTAAATAATAGATATCCATTTGACCACCCCTAACGGCTCATACCATTATGAATGCATAATCTCATCTTTCAGTCTATGTGAGAAAAAAAGTCATTCAACAGTCTGAAACCGGCAGATTTAAAGCACCGTAACAGTTCACAAGACTGATTACTCATAAAAAAGATGTTTTGGATAGTCAAACTAGATGCGTAGTTTGTTTGACCTAAAATAAGCCGAAAATAGCTAATCAGTGGTGCTTTCCTGAAAACCATCTTTAGCCAGATAAAGTCACAAGTTCCATCATTACAAACATAGTTTGTTGATTGGCCGTGTCCTAAATCCGTCATTCCAACAAACATTCGCAAACTGCGTTGCAAACTTGTATGCTTGCAACTACATCTGTGGAGCTGTAGTTAGAAACAGTTCCTGCTGTGTTCTATTCCCCGTTAATCATCCATGCCCTATTTGTTTAGAACATTCTAACATTTAAACTTAAAATTATTTTTAAAAAGCATTAAAGTCATCACTCATGGGTGTAATTTGCTTTCAAGGTATTTTTACCGTTAAATTTTAGCGATCTTCATATTGACAATTGCGCTCCATTCGCAGTGCACTTTGAAAACATTGATGTCATTTTGAACACAGCCGTGGCTCATGACGAAAGCTATAGGTGACCTATTATTTAAAAGTGGAATTAATGTTCATCTCCAAAGCTTGTGAAAAAAAAACACAGCAAACGTTAATGCTTTTCATTTATAGTAGGTTATTTATTAAGTATCTGTACTGTATATGACCTGGGCCTATTGGTTAGAACATTTCTGCAGGGGCTTGCATGTGTCAAACTGTAAAAGTACTTAAAAAAAAATAATAATAATAATTAACATCATATTTAATAATAATAATAATAATAATAATTATTATTATTATTAATTATTATTATCATCATCATCATTATTATTATTGAATATATTATTATTGAAGTATGATTTTTTTATTCCCTAATAAATATTAAGTATTTAATTTCATTTCTTAATAAATAGGCTCATTATTTATCTATTTATATGATTTATATATGATATTAGAATACGTGTCAGCTTTTGTAAGTGATTTTATGTTTTAGAATAGAATATGTAATGTTCTCAATAATATTTGTAAAGGAAACATTGTCCCTATATGTTCCATTTACATATATTTCAATAAATATGGAAAGCAAGTGCATGTTTTTACTAAAACTAATATTGGATGTTTTTTTTAAATGTGTGTGTGTGTGTGTGTGTGTGTGTACAAAACAATATAATTTGCATGAAATGATGGGGTTCTTCTCTAAAGAAGTTGTTAATCCACCCAGTTTAGAGCATCATTATGGGTGATTTACGTTATAACTAACGTGGTTCAAGCGATGGATCTGCGACAGAGAAACTAGGGGTTTTGAGAAACACCGTACTACATCGTTCTTTTCCCAAACGATGCATAGTACTATGATATTTTAGCCGTGAGTTTTGTCGTTGTTTGGGAAACGCACCCTAGGTCAAAATACACTAAATATCCCACAAAACACTTAAACTTAAATATATTTATTAATAAATTAGATGTAATTTAAATAGATGCATAAATTTGAAAAAAAAAAAAGTAATGCCAACCCATCAGAGGGTGAGTAATGTACAGGGGTGTGAAAAAGTGTCTCCCGCCTTACTGATTTCTTATTTTTTCCATGTTTGTCACTTTAATATTTCAAAGCATGAAACTAATTTAAATATTAGTCAAAGGTAACACAAGTAAACACATTATGTACTTTTGAAATGAAGGTTTTTAATATTAAGGCAAAACAAATGACAAAACTACATAGCCCTGTGTGTGGAAAATAAAGTGTTTGCCCCCTAAACATACTGAGTACCCTTAGCAGCAACAACTACAATCAAGCGTGTTCAGTGAGTCTGTCACTGTGCTGTGGAGGAATTTAGCCCCACTCCTCTTTGCAGAATTGTTGTAATTCAGTCACATAGTAGGTTTTTGAACATAAACTGCCTTTTTAAGTTCATGCCACAGCATCTCAATTGCATTCAGGTCAGGACTTTGACTAGGCCACACCAAAGTATCCATTTTGTTTTTCTTCAGCCATTCAGAAGTAGGGGTGTCAAATCGAAATCGATCGAAATTTATGTTCAATTTCGATTATCGAATCAAAAAAATAGTATCGTCGATGCTGCCACGCCCCCATGTTACGTCAGCTTGGCTTGCCAAGCGGGAAAAAAACGGCTTGTTGAAGTGCTTGTTAAACTGCAGAAGCAGGAGACCCGTCAACAGAGCTTAAACCCTCTCCTCTGTCAATGAAGTCGCCGGTGTGTAAGCATTTTGGATTTCCAGTGAGTTATGTTGACAACGTTTAAGCTGTCGACAAAAAAACACAGTTTTGCAAGCTCTGCTATGTACGTATTACGTACGGTTCGTCCGATAGACAACACCGTCATCGCGATCCTCCGCCCGACCCCATTGCAAATCCGCTTGTGAAAAGTAGACACTCAGGCCCTATTTACACTGTCTTTGTTTTTAAATGGCATTTTAGAACGACAACGATTTGACATCCACAGTGGCGTGTAGCATTTCTGAGCAGCCCTCCTTCCTCTCTACCTCTGAAAACGCACATCACGTGACCACACAGACACAGACGCACACACAGCCATATGAGCTTGAGACAGCAGGTCCAGGCAGTCAGAGGACTGCTTCAATCTTTCACTCACTTGTACTTAGTCATTTTAGCGAACACCTCAGATACTGTTGGCTGGTTCCTGTTGGTTGTGCGTCTTTTTTACCGAATCGAAACTTTAGAATCGAAAATGTAATCGAATCGAGGATTTGGAGGATCGTGACACCCTTATTCAGAAGAGTATTAGCAGGTGTCCTTTGGATCATTGACCTGCAAACACTTTTTCACACATGGCTATATAGTTTTGTATTTGTTTTCTCTTAATAATAAAAGCCTTCATTTACAAACTGCATGATGTGTTTACTTGTGTTATATTTTACTAATATTTAAATTTGTCTGATCTGAAAAATATAAGTGTGACAAACAAATGAAAACACTAAGGGGCAAACACTTTCTGTATATATGGGTAAACTATCCTTTTAAGACAGTTTTGTGTTTAAAACATTAAATATGTAAGCGAGGCATCATTAAATATGCAAACAAAGTTCTAGAACAGAAGTCAGAACAGTGGATGCAGTTAAACTTATTCTTTCATTTCATTGACATTAATTTGAGGGATTTTTACAAGGTGGATTTTGGATATGTTCGTTAATAATACATTTAAAGGCCACTAATCAGTATTAATCAGTATTAACTAATCAAATAAGTAAACACAATCAGACAAACAATATAAATGAAACGCAGTTAAAAACTCTTAATTTAATTTTGATAATTTAGTTAGTGTGTTTTTAATTTAATATAATTTAACAGAATAAAAACACTGCATAAAAAGTTTTTTTTTTTTTTATTTGCCTAAGAATCAACATTTACTATATATTTTATCTGTATGTTTTCTGAAATATTTGAGCATTTCTAGTAAACATTTGGTCATTTTTATGAATGCTTTTCATTCAATTTATTTTAGTTTGTATTATTTTACTACATCAAATTTAACAGCGTAAAGTTGTGGTCAAATATAATAAGTATGATTTGATCTGATTATACAGAAATAATTTTGTTTGTGGTGAGAGAATGCAAGCCTAAAATTATTATTATTATTATTTTTTTGCAGAATTCAGTCATATATAAGTTAATATAAACTAAATGCATTCAAAAACTCTTTGTTTGATCTTAATTTAAACTCTTAATTTAATCTTCAGAATTTAGTTAATGTGTTGAAAATGTTTATTTAAATAGTAGGTCATTTTAATTAAATAAATAAATAATATTTTTAATTTAACATAATTGTAACAGAATAAAAACACTGCATCAATTTTTTTTGCCTAGAAATCAACATTTATCATATTTTTACTTGTATGTTTTCTGAAATATTTGTGCATTTCTAGTAAACATTTGGTCATTTTTATGAATTTATTAGTTTAGTTTATTTTAGTTTGTATTTTTTTACTACATCAAATTTAACAATGTAAAGTTATGGTCAAATATAATAAATATAATTTTATATATATATTTATTTTATTTCAAGCAGCAAAATAGTTCAGTTTGCACTTTCAGTAAACCGTAATTACCTGAAAGCAATGCTAAACCCTTAACGTTAAGCTATGAATTATGATGGAACTCCCTTCTCCTTTGCCCGGATCCTTTTCTTTTCTGCCCACTCATCTAAAAGGTTCCTCTGCTTTTTTAAAAAAAATCTCCAGACGATGCACGTCACAAGAGCACACATGATGAGCGCAGACGCAACCCTTAGCATTTTTACACGCTGGCTGGGGATTTTACGCTCATTCTGCTATGACTAACCCTGTATTTTAACTCAGACATGTGTCTTTTGTGGTCAAGTTTATTTTTGGTGGTAACATTTACCCCACTTCCTCGCTAACTGGCGCATTAAATGACATGCTAGTATTAACCGGTTTTCTCTGCACTCTAAAAGCATGCTGTGAAAAATAAATGAAAAAGTCAAAAGTTAGCTTGTGGTCAAGTTAGGCCTGTGAGTTTTGTTTACAGACTACTGTAAAAGAAGCCACAAAAAATGCAATTGAATGCAAGACTAACATGCTGGAAGATTCTAGAAATGCCTTCAAATGTGAGACACTGCAGGCAGAAACATGTCTTTTTATTTCAGTCTAATGTAAAGAAAACATCCAAAATCAGGGCTCGTAAAATTTCTAAATTCTTGGTTTAGTCATTAAATTCATTAAATAAAAACAAAAACACACATATGCTAACTAAATAAATAAATAAATAAGTGTATGTATATATATATATATATATATATATATATATATAACATGATATTTGTTACAGTCTGTATATGAATTTTTAAATAACCAAAATTATATTATTTAACTTTTTTAAAGTTTTTATTAACATAGTTTTTTTTTTAAATAACCAAAAAATATATATAATAATTATGTTAAGTGAACAACCGACAATGTTTCAGGTTATTTTTTGCAGCTGTAAAATTCAGAATTATTAGACCCCTTTGAATTTTTTTTTTGCCAGAATAAAAGCAGTTATTGTATAACGATGGTTTGTTCTGTAGACTATCGGAAAAAATAGCTTAAAGGGGCTAATAAGTTTGACCTCAAAATAGTTTTTAAAAAATGAAAAACTGCTTTTATTCTAGCCGAAATAAAACAAATAAGACTTTCTCCAGAAGAAAAAATATTATCAGACATACTGTGAAAATTTCCTTGTTCTGTTAAACATCATTTGGGAAAAGAACGTATTTATCACTATAAAACTAAAATTAGTGAGCCTACACAGAGAAGTCAGAGAAAAATGCTAAAATTTAGAAAAAAATATCAAACGGCATTTACAGGTTTTTGCATCTGAACTCTTCATATATTGATTATTGTGACAGGCCTATAACTAGTTACTTTGTAGGAACGCTGTTGCTAATCAGCCGAGGAAATATCATGATCTTTTTTTATCTCGCCTTGAACAAAGGTGACCGCAAGCAGAGGTAAAAGCTGGATTGTGAAACAGGACATTATAGTGTGTAAGGTGCTTTCCAGAGTTAAACAGCCTCTCTGTGGCTCGCCGTCCACTTCCTTATCATGAATTAGCAGAAAAGGATCACACACCTGCGATTCCTCATTTAGCACTTCCTCATGTCTGAAATAACTCTACAGGGGATACGAGATAAGCTGGAATTCACTAGGGCAGGATTTGCATATTCAAAATATAGTTGGAATTACGGTAACCTAAATTTGAGTTCAAGATTTATTTAGAAAGGATAATACCGTAACCTCAAAGGTGGCTACTGCAATAAAGTGCACATTGAATATATAGCTATTAAATGTATTTCTCATAATGTTGTCTCATATTGTTATCTTAATATCTTAATATCTCAAATTCTACTCATGTTGTAATGCAGATAATATCCATTATAAAATTATAGCATGGTTAATATATATATATACACACACACACACACACACACACACACACACACACACACACACACACGTGCATAAGTATTCACAGCCTTTGCTCAATACTTTGGATTTAGGTCTGGGCTCTGGCTGGGCCACTGAAGGACATTCATTGAGTTGTTGTGAAGCCACTCCATTGATATTTTGGCGGTGTGCTTTGGGTCATTGTCCTGCTGGAAGATAAACCGTCGCCCCAGTCTGAGATCAAGAGCCCTCTGAAGCAGGTTTTCATTCAGGATGTCTCTGTACATTGCTGCATTCATCTTTCCCTCTATCCTGACTATTCTTCCAGTTCTTGCTGCTGAAAAACATCCCGACATGATGCTGCCACCACCATGCTTCACTGTAGGGATGGTATTAGCCTGGTGATGAGCGGTGCCTGGTTTTCTTCAAACGTATAGCCTGGCGTATAGCCTCTTCTCCAAAGAGTTCAATTTTAGTCTCATCAGACCAGAGAATTTAGTTTCTTATGGTCTGAGAGTCCTTCAGATGCCTTTTGGCAAATTCCAGGTGGGAGGTGGCTTTTGTACTGGCCACTCTACCATAAAGACCTGATTGGTGGATTGCTGCACAGATGGTTGTCCTTCTGTAAGGTTCTCCTCTCTCCATAGAAGAACGCTGGAGCTCAGACAGAGTGACCATCAGGTTATTGATTACCTCCCTGACTAAGGCCCTTCTCCCCCGATCACTCAGCTTAAATGACCGGCCAGCTCTAGGAAGAGTCATGGTGGTTCTAAACATCTTCCACTTATGAATGATGGAGGCCACTGTGCTCATTGGAACTTTCAGAGCAGCAAATATTTTTCTGTAACCTTCCCCAGCCTTGTGCCTCGAGACAATTCCTTTGTCTTCATGCTTGGTTTGTGCTTTGACATGCACTGTCAACCCTGGAATTTTATATAGACAGGTGTATGCCTTTTCAAATCCTGTCCAATCAACTGAATATACCACAGGTGAACTCCAATTAAGCTGCTGAAACATCAGAGCTGGTACCTGAGCTCAGTTTAAAGCTTCACTTCAAAGGCTGTGAATACTTATGTACATGTGATTTTTCAGGTTTTTTAGTTTTAATACATTTAATAATTAAATAAATAAATAAAATATTAATTATTAATATTATAAATATAATTTATATATATATATATATATATATATATATATATATATATATATATATATATATATATATATATATATATAATTACAAAATGATGTAAATGTAAAAATATAAAAATGTATAGAAAATTATTAGTAATTATATGACTGAAGCACAGTCATGGTTACACAGAGAAGTTCATTATTTTATTTAGTCATAACTTCCTGATACTGATACAGCTTATAAAAGTCATTTATATCTATTTATATCTAAAAAGACCCGTATAGTAAAATAAAAATAATTATCTTTATGTCTTAAAAAATGTGTGCCAGAACGGGGTCTTAAATCTGAACACAGGGATATTTTTAGCCTACAGTTGTAACCTTTTAGCGGGGTGGGTTTTTGGAAAAACAACTTTCTGTGTTATCAGGAAACTCCCCCTGTTGCTGTGTGTGTGTGTATGAGGGGGTGGTACAAAAATAGGTTATAACAATGCGAGTAAGAATAATTTCCCTAGAGCCAAAGGTCCCGAATTCATCTGTAAGGCCAAGGGAAATTCCTTTAAAAAAGTCATAAGTCACAGATCATAGTAAAAATGATGAATGAACTGAGGTCTCCCATTCAATAAAAAGCTCATGAATGGCCTGATTTGTATGTGATGTCTGAATGGAAAAGTAAAGGTCAGTGTGTGTGTCTTGTGTGTGTGTGTGTGTGTGAATGATCTCTGCAGTTGCTGGCAGTGGTATCAGAGCTGGAGCAGCAGAGCCTCAACATCCTGGTTCTGGGCAGGAAGCACATGCTACGACATTCACGCAACTGGGACAGACAAAACATGAGCCTGATCAAACAGAAAGCACACTGCTTCTTCACAGAGGACATGTCAGTATCACAAACACACACACTGTACACACTTACTCTTATTAATAAATGTTCTTTATTGGCTTTGCTGGTTCCGTGAACAACTTGTAACATCCATTCAAATTCCACAAAGTAGTTTTGTTCTTTAGATTAATAAATACTTCATGGTATGAAAAAAAGTTAAAGAGCCTTTTTCTAAAGGGGAGCTAAAATGGTTCTTCTATGCCATCAATATGAAAATCCCTTTTTAATTCTTTATTTTTGTGTTGCAAAATCCTAGTGAGCTGTCCACAAGAGATGCGCGGATCAGCTGAAATGACACCCAAATCTGCGGTTTCATACTAATTATCCACCCGCCACCCGCCTGCATACATAGTTTTATCTGATATATGTATCCGCACCCGATTGTCCTTTAATAATTTAATTCTTTGTTTTAGGCATAATGATAGGTCACCTTGGATATTAACAGCAGATTCAGTGAGCTATAATCTGCGCATCTCTGATAGTAAAATAATATGTTAATCGTAAAGGTTTTTTTAATGAACATTTATTTATAAAAACAAAAGTTTGTCTTTAGACAACATTTTCTTTTTCAAATAGATACAGAAAGTAAAAATAAGACATTTTAGCTTTTACAGATACAGGAACGAGATAACAAAAAGGGTGCCACTTCAGCCAAAACAGCAGCTATGTTGTGTTTATTGGCCTTTTTCTTCGCACTGTGCACAAACAGAAAAATAATAATTCCTTAATAATAATTCCTTACATATCTACTCTTTTTGGATGGACATCCTGGGATTTTTACTGACCACAGAGAGTCGGGACATCGGTTTAACGTCTAATAGAATAGCATCTACTGTGCCTGGATTCGGGCGATTCCGCCTCGCCTCCAAAACACGGCCAGCTGCTCTGAATGAGCGTTTGCTCGCACCGCTTGTTGTAGGAATTAATAAGATTCTCTTCGCAAGGTGCTGCAGTCGTGGAAATAAGCGATCTTGTTTCTCAAGTCAGACTCCTCTAATTGAAACTTTGTACAGTAGGGTATTTTGCATCTATTATTTTTGGCGTCTCATCTTCCCATTCTGCAAAGCCCACTCTCTGCTTTTTCGCTGGTCCACTACCATGTCCCGCTACATCCACCCGCAACCGACCTGCGATTAATCATAATGTATTATTTTATTAGAATTATTTATTCATCCGTGCATCACTACTGTCCACAAAAGCAGTATTTTAAAGGAAACACAGGCTGACTTGCAATAGTTCCCATATTGCACTGGTGCTCAAGAAAAAGCATACTCGAAAAACATAAAAACCTACTGCCAGCTAGTGTTTTGGAAGTATCCATGCAGAAGTATAAATGCACGGCAATGCGCAAGGCATGTGCCGTGGGTCACAACGATCACTTGATGCAGAAACCAGGCTTTGGGAGGTTTGCTGAAGCTGCAGAGAGGGATTTGCATCTTTAATAAACTGACAGTTTTAGTTCATTGAAAATGTTCCCATAATGCACTGGTGCTCAAGAAAAAGCATACAAAGTTGTTCATTTAGCCCTTGTGTGCTGTTGGGGATGTTGTCATCCTCTCTGGGACGATTTTGAGTCTCAGGCCCCGTTTACACTACTACGTGTTTGTTTTAAAACGGTGTTTTAGAACTAAAACGATCCACATCCACACCTGCATTTCACCTAGCATATCTAAAAAAGATCTCCATCCACACTATACCGCTGAAAACGCACATCACGTGACCACACACACTCTCTGGCATGCGCTGCAGCATATGTGCACATCTGAGCTCCAGGCAGTCAGTGGATGCTTTGAGCACACCTCCCCAGGTGAGAGAAGCGGACGTCGGACAGTTCATCAAGGATCTTCCGCTGGATCTCACTACAGTTGTTAAACGTGATATTTAATTCATCTCGTCTCTATCTAACAACTCTTCTGTCTTTTGAATCTATTTATAACGTGGGTTGGTTAGACGCAAATATAAGTTAATTTATTAATGTAACAACATACACTAATTTTGCACATTTGATTGTCCCCCTTACCCCCCCCCCCCCCCCCCCCTCGGCCCGCACTTACATTGCATTTTTTGCCTTTGAGTCTGAGCATGCTTTTGTCATCAATGATGTGGCTGTTTGGTTTAACAGGAGAGAAGCGCTCTCGCTCAGCACAGTGGAGATTGCTTTAGTTCTATTATTTGTATTATTTTAAGTCATTTGATATGCAGTGACAACGTCAGATCTTCTGCTGAACAGATCCACCACTTTTGACGCTCATAAATGTTCATGAAGGTCATCTTGCTGCACATATTAACGCTAATTTATACTTCTGCCTCAAGCGTACGCTCAGCGCAGTCTTCACTCTGTCGCATACCCCTCGCCGTGGCCATCGCAGACACCGATACGCACCTTTCAAAAAATTTAACTACACGTTGCAATGATGCGCAGCGCAAGCTCTGTGATTGGTCGGCTTTGTATCGCTGACGGGTGTGGGCAGGGTTGAGAGCCGCGCGAACCTGTTGAGTGAGTGTTTACAAGTGTCCAATCTCGTAAAGGAGCGACAGATGGAAAGTGTTGTTTTGTGTTTACCTTATGATTAAAGTTGTTGCACGTCTGCCAGCTCCCGCCTTAGTATGAGGGAGTTTGATCTACTTCTACATTAAGGTAGCATTTAGAAAAAACAAAACACCCATGAACTCGAAAAACATAAAAATCTACTGCCAGCTAGTGTTTCGGAAGTATCCATGCAGAAGTATAAATGCACAGCAATGCGCAAGGCATGCGCCGTGGGTCACAATGATCACTCGATGCAGAAACCAGGCTTTGGGAGGTTTGCTGAAGGTGCAGCGAGGGATTTGCATCTTTAATAAACTGACAGTTTGAGTTCATTGAAAAGCAAGAAATGATTAATAAATCCATATGAAACCGTCCCTTAAAAGTGACGTTGTGTCTTGAGAGCTCAGGCATGCTTTGCACACACAAGTGTATCGCACCAAAGTCCAACTAAACCAACCGGGCCAGGGCTGGCCAACTGAACCACACCTAGGCACCTAGTACACCCTTAATTTGGCCACAACATTAAAGTCATAAAGACTTTAAAATGCTTTAAAAACTTTTTTTTAACTTAAAAATACACTCTGTGCAGTTTGACCTCCCCTTTGTTATGTTTGGGGCTGTTTTTGCCCTATTGACTTCCATGATAAAAAGACACCTTGCAGGGAAAACCACTATCAATCGACGGCGCCAACAACCTAGTGGTACTGTGCGCTGACATGTAGCACGGACGTGCTCACGGCGACCTGAGTTTAAATCACGGCTCAAGGTCCTTTGCCGATCCTTCCCTTCTCTCTGCTCCCAATGCTTTCCTGTCTGAAATCTCTACTGTCCTATCATAGTAAAAACCCTTAAAATTAATTATTTAAAAAAACAAAGTAACACTAACAATCAAGAATGCATGATTATATGCTGTCATGGCTACAAACAAAACAATACACCATGGGTGACTAAATATTTCAATATTGCATACATAATTTGCAAATAAAGCACAGGTTTCCATTCCAAGTGCTAAGCAAACCAAATCAGCCCAATCTGGTGCCAAGTGTTCAGTCATAAAGATGAAGTTGCTGCATCTGGGGAAACTGAGTTAGTTTGTTTCCATCAACGGAAAAAAAACACGGCAACTTTTTATCTCACAGTTCTGACTGTTGTTCTTACAAGTACATTTTAGCTTACATTATTATAAGTTAACAGCTGCATCTTCTTATTAGAATTGCTGCTTTTTTGTTGTTTTTATTCATGAAATGCCAATGAATAAAGTGTAAACTCACAATCGGGAGAATGAACTAATGTTGCAGTTCTATAAAAACAAGGTATTTCCATTTTTTTATATGAAGTTCATTCATTCATCCTTCAGCTTAGTCTTTATTCATCAGTGGTCCCCACAGCGGAATGAACTGCCAACTTATCCAGCATATGTTTTACACTATATACATTTGAAGACAAAATTATTAGAATAATTATTTTTCAAATATCTTCCTATAGTGCTATTTTGTCTTTGCCATAATTACTTTACATACTATGTTACTTGTTATTTTGCAAGATAATAGAGCAATTTAAGGGCTTAACTAAGTTAATTATGTTAACTAGGAAAGTAAGATTAATTAGTCAAGTCATTAGACAACAGTGGGATAAAATTGTTATGGGGGCTAATAATATTGACATTAGCATTTTATATATATTTACAAAATATTTTAGATTCCAAACTAAACTAAAAGATATAATTTACTGTGTTCAATCTGCAATATATGTATTATTAAGAATATTATGAGAATATAATTTATCATCATTATAACTCTTATGTCATATTAAAAAAATCTATTTTGCATGGGCTATAAATGACGCAAACACTCGCTCCTCGCTCGAAATCATTTTCGAGGTCATTACTTATCTCTTGCTTTGTTTGGTTACAGTTTCACTCAAACGTGTTATTGACACATGTAATCAAGCATAACCTCTCATTTGCGTCAATTTATATAAACCAAAGTGATTTCATTCATTACACAAGAAAGGTTTTTTAAATTCTGTTTTTGTTTTTGTATGACTGCCACAGTTCTGAAGATGACCCATATCTGCTGTACGCCGCTTTAAACTCCGGCGTTCACTGTAAGTTTCTCAGTCGTGATCTGATGAGGGATCATAAAGCCTGCCTGCCGGACAGTGCCACCAGATGCCTCTTCTTCAAGTGGCAGCGTGGGCATCAGCTGGTCATCAGCCATTACACACCAGGAAAAAGAGTTCGATTTGAGGTGCGTGTAGGAGTGCTGGGAGCTTATTTTACAACTAAAAAGCTGTATTTTTTTACCTTAGCTTAGCATAAATCATTGAATCGGATTAGACCATTAGCATTTCACTTTTGGAATTTTTTTTAATTAAAGCTTGACTCTTCTGTAGTTACATCAAGTGTTAAGACTGAGGAAAAAGAGAAGTTCATTCAGTCTTAGTACAATATGTAACTACAGATTAGACCAGCTCTAGACCTAAATTGAAAAATGGTAAAACTCAACTACTTAACCATATAGGGAAGCTATAAAATGAGTCTGTTTCCAAAAAAAAGTGGAGTGTTACTTTAGAGGGGTCACGACATGTATTTTTTTGTATTATTAATATTATTTTAACGTTTTCTTTGACGTTCACTTATATAGTTTACACAAAAAAACTCATGTATATTTAGAAAACCAATTATTTTTGATCCTCTTTTCCCTGTTGCTGCATAATATCATTCCACCAGAATGAAAGTATATTCCCAGCCATATCAACCTAGAAAATAGCATTTTTTCATTGGTCTTAGTGCACAACGTAACTACAGACGAGTGAAGCTGTAAATAGGAAAATTATCAAACCTTGGGTCATTTTTGAGTGAGATGCTAATGGTCTAATCCGATTCAATGACCTATGCTAAGCTAAGCTAAAAGTCCGCCTGCCAGAGTGTGAGATCAGCTAAATGGATTAAAAAAATGAAAGAAAAAAAGCTGTTTATCTGTAAAATGTCTAATGAAAAGGTCTAATTTAAGTCAAGTAAGTAAAGTAAAAATAATTGTCAGTTAATGGCCATTGTTTTGATTGGCTAATGCCATTTTATGGAAACAAGCATCAACACCCCAGTGCTATTGCAGTGTTGTATCGCCGTGTTTTTGACAACATTATCCATGTAAAACCATTATTCACTGACAACGCATTATGAAATTATTAACTTAAGCTAAAAGTGCTTGGAGTGGGCGGAGCCTATGCTCCTATTTGCAAATGAATGTACACTGCAAAAAAAAGTTGACTGAAGATAAAATTAAGGCAACCAGCTTCAGGACATTTTTGATTTTACTCAACTTAAATCAAGTCAAGTTCAGTACTCAAAAATGTCCTGAAGCTGGTTGCCTTAAAATATTGACTCATCTTTTTTTTTTAAATATACGGTGTACCCTTGTGATGTCACATGCCATCTCATTGGCAAACATGTCATTTCTACAGCTTGTCTATGTATATATGATTTATTTATTGCAAGAACAATGTTGTAGGCATTTAAACTTGCAGGATGTTTTAATGAAACAAAGATCTGTCCTATGTCAAAAGATCAAGACCACTTTGATTTGACATGCCATGACCCCTTTAAAGGACTGCTATATTTATTAGGATGACATCTTATCTGGCTTTACTGTGTGTTTTTCAGAGGATCTTGAGTTATGATACCATCATTCAAACCAACGGCAGCTCCTGGCACATTCCCTACGACCAGAAAGCAGAAGACAGAGCTTCTTATGAGGTTCCTCAGAAATGGCTCTGTCTGACTCGAGATTAATGAGATGCTGAAAGTCTCAAATTAAAAAAAAATGTTTTGCAAAATGTCTAGTTGTGTTTTATTCTGCTGCTACTATTATATTAGTCCAAGATCTGATTTGAATTTATGTTTTATATCAGGTTCAGCGATAATACAGTATATAAAATAGTATAAGTCATAATACATAATATAATATAGTATACAGATGAAACCAGAAGTTTACATACACTGTATAAAAAGGCACATAACCGTATAAAACAAAGTCATATGTTAATGTGACTAAACTTTTTCTCTTCTAGGTAAGTTAGGATTATCACATGTGTTTCTGTTATGCTTAATATCAGAATAGTGTTAATAATAGTGTGAATAATTTATCAGAAATTGTTATAACTTTTCTTGAATGTGAAGTTTACATACAACAGGGTTATTATGCCTCTGAAAAAGCTCAGATGATGATGTCAAGGTTTTGGAAGTTTCTGATTGGTAATTAACAACATTTGAGTTAATTGGAGGCACAACTGTAGAATAGTATTTAAGGAAAACCTCAAACACACTGCTTCCTTGTGTGACAACATGGGAAAATCAACAGCCAGTGTCAACAAAAAAGCCAGATTACAATTTGCTAAATTACACTGGGAAAAAGACTAATTTTGGAGACATGTCCCGTGGTCTGATGGAACTACGATTGAACTGTTTGGCCATAATGACCAGTGTTACATTTGGAGGACAAGCTACGAGCCTAGGAACACCATCCCAACTGTGAAGTATGAGGACGGCAGCATCATGTTGTGGGGCTAATTTGCTGCAGGAGGGACTGGTCCACTTCACAGCATAGATGGCATCATGAGGAAAGAACATTATGTAGAAATACTAAAGCAACATCTCAAGACATCAGCCAGGAAATTAAAACTTGGCCACAAATGGGTCTTCCAAACAGACTACGACCCTAAGCATACTGCCAAATTACTTAAAATGTGCTTTAAGGACAACTGAGTGAATGATTTGGCCATCACAAAGCCCTGATCTCAATCCTATAGAAAATTTGTGGGCAGAGCTGAAAAAGCTTGCGCGAATCTGACTCAGTTGCACCAATTCTGTCAGGAGGAATGGGCCAAAAAACTATTGTGAGAAGCTTGTGGAAGGATACCCAAAACATTTGACCAAAGTTATTCAGTTTAAAAACAAAGCTAAAAAACTACCAAGGAAATGTATGTAAACTTTTGACTGTCTAGAAATTAATAAAAAATTACTCTCATTATTCTGGCATTTAGCAAATGTAAATGATTTAGGTAATCCTAACAGACCTAAAATAGTAACAATTAGTTTACCATCAGACATTTTTTTTATGGTTGTGCTTCTTTTTTAGTGTATGTAAACTTCTGGTTTCAACTGAAGAAAACATCACATCTAAATATAGAAAGGTTTTATGGTTTAATACGGCTGAAATAACAGTTCATTGTCAGTAATGTATTATGCATGAATTAATCTTTATTATAGCCTGTACTTATTCAAATGTATAAAAGTGGTCAAACTAAATTTAATCATATTTTAGGTGAGTACTAATTTTAGGTAAAGCGAAAGATAGTTGTAAAGTATCAAAAGAATAAGTAATCATGCTAAATTTAATAATATTTTAAGTGATTACTAACCTAGTGGTATAATGCCTTTAGATGACAATTAATTAGCATGTTAGTGCTGCACTAAGACTCCTTTAATAGAGTCTTTTAATATGTCATCAAATGATTCTTACTCTAAATGTGACTGATCAAAGTGTTTGGTATATGAAATATACGGTATATATATGGTATATTGTAATGCTGAATGAAATTTTAGTCAGCGTCTTCTAGAAGTCATTTTAAAAACGTATGATCATTTTTACTCAAAAAGAAATTGAACAGAACACATTTGCCAAGGAAAAAAATATTCATTCATTTATTTTTCTTCAGCTCTCTATTTCAGAGGTCGCCACAGCGGAATGAACCGCCAACTATTCCAGTATCTGTTTTATGCAGCGGATCTTCTTCCATCTGCAACACAGTACTGGGAAACCCCCATACATTAACACATCTCATTCACACACACGCTATGGTCAATGTAGTTTATTCAGTTCACTTATAGTGCATGTGTTTGGACTGTGGGGGAAACTGGAGCACTTGTAAGAAAACCCACACAAACACAGGGAGAACTTGCAAACTCCACACAGAAATGCCAACTGGCCCAGCCGGGACTTGAACCAGCGACCTTCTTGCTATGAAGTGACAATGTTAACCACTGAGCCATCATGTCGCCCAGGGAAAAAAAATATGTAATTTTCAATTAATGAAACTTAGGTTGTAGGTAAATATGAACCAACAAAAGAAATCAAGGTGTCATATAACCTAGATTTTATGATGTTAATAGAAATAGGTGCTTCCTCATAATTGTCAGGTGGTGGTAAATTCTAAACGTGTAATAAAGCATGCTCTTTTGTACTCTTATGCTAGGTGTGGAAACCTCAAACACTTGATGTTTCTGTCTGTTATTGTGTCAGTAATAAACTTTCAGAGAACAACGACTGGATTTGCATAACAATTATAATACTAAACAAATACTGCATTAAATTAGGTTTACACTGCCTTATAGAATTTTACTCATTGCAGAAAGCATCAATTAGATTTTTTAGCATTATAAATGTTGTATAGAGACTAGTATTTTTCTTAGCAAAGAAACAAAGCAAGGCTCTAAAGTAGTAGATTAACATTTAACAGCCAATGTGAATAATTTGAATATAATTTACGATTTCTTAAAATTCAGTTTATATGGTAAATATTTTCTGTTTATTAAAATGCATGACCCTCAATATACGGGATTTATTTTTATAACGAAATGGCATGAACATTTTCTAATGTGTAATTAGACACAAATTTGTAATCAGCCAATCACATGGCAGTAACTCAATGCATTTAGGCATGTAGACATGGTCTAGACGATCTGCTGCAGTTCAAACCAAGCATCAGAATGGGGAAGAAAGGTGATTTAAGTTACTTTGAACTTGGCATGGTTGTTGGTGCCAAACAGTCTGGTGTTTCAGAAGCTGCTGATCTACTGGGATTTTCTCGCACAACCATCTCTAGGGTTTACAGAGAATGGACAAAGAGAAAACATCCAGTGAGCGGCAGTTCTGTGAGTGCAAATGCCTTGTTATTGCCAAAGGTCAGAGGAGGCCAGACTGGTTCCAGCTGATAGAAAGGCAACAGTAACTTAAATAAACACTCGTTACAAACGAGGTTGTAGCAGAAGAGCATTTTTGAATGCACAACACATCCATCCTTGAGGCAGACGGGCTACAGAAGCAGACCACATCGGATGCCACTCCTGTCAGCTAAGAATAGGAAATTGAGGCTACAATTAGCACCAAAATTGGACAATAGAAGATTAGAAAAACGTTGCCTGGTCTGATGAGTCTTATTTCTGCTGCAACATTCAGATGGTAGGGTCAGAATTTAAAAGCATGAAAGCATGGATCCATCCTGCCTTGTATCAACAGTTTAGACTGCTGGTGGTGGTGTTATGGTGTGGGGGATATTTTCTTGGCACACTTTAGGCTCACTAGTATCCATTGAGCATTGTGTCGACGCCACAGCCTACCTATGTATTGTTGCTGACCATGTCCTTATACTTCCAGCAGGATAATGCGCCATGTCTTAAAGTGCGAATCATCTCAGGCTGGTTTCTTGAACATGACAAGGAGTTCACTGTACTCAAATGGCCTCCACAGTACCCAAAACTCAATTCAATGGAGTATCTTTGGGATGTGGTGGAACAGGAGATTCACATAGTATAATAATTATATATATATATATATATATATATATATATATATATATATATATATATATATATATATATATATATATATATATATATATGAACAAAGAAACTATATAATTATTTTAATTAAAAAATAAAAATTTCTCCCTCTTTGTTTAACCTTTAATTAATTCCATTGTTAAACATATATCATTATATCCAAGCAGCATATAATAAACAAAACAGTATAAAATAACAAATAATAACATAAAAATGAAACCATTAATGATAATAATACAAATTAAAATAAATTCAGGGGGTCAATCCATATTAACTGACAGAACTTAGGAAGGCACTTGTTTTGTGTTCACCTGTTTTATGGATTTAAATAAAACGAGTAAATCCTTTTTAAATGCTTTAAAACGAAAATAATTTTTCACAAATTCTAAAATAAATGAAATTTGACTTTGATTTTTCTTAAAAATGTAAAATTCTCCCAAAATAATTAAACGTTGCACAACGACAGTAAAATTGTTACACGCACTGACATGATCATTTTGACATATCAAACTTCGCTCTTTCCAAATAAATAACAGTGAAGCGTGATGTGAGCACGACGCGTCACGACACTTCTTCACCCGGATATGAAAGCCGACGCCGGTGTTATCACATCCGGTGTACGTTAGAGCGCAGTGTTTAGATCTGTTTACAAACTTTTAGCATTAAATCTCTGTTATAATGTCCCGGGGCTCGAGCGCGGGGTTTGACCGACACATCACCATCTTTTCTCCGGAGGGGAGACTCTATCAAGTCGGTGCGTATCGACGAAATCGCGCCTTTATTAAATCGAAAGAATAAATGCTCAGTCATTTTGCTGCAGCATCATTCAGCAGCTTCTCCTGCTCTGGATGCTGCGTTTGTGCTAGTATTTCACTTTAATGTGATTGAGCTAAAGGTTAAAACACTGAATATGCTGTTAAAATGAGGATAATTCACCTTCTCATGTATTTGTTAGTTACTGTTAGTTCTTAGCTCTTACGTTCATGGCAGAAACAGCTGAGCTCAGTTTGACTAAAAATGTGTAAAAGTGCTTTCAGTTTCCTAGTGTTTACAATTATGCTTATTAATTATATTATTTTAGTTAAACTGACTCATTTAGGCTCCTCGTGAAGTATAATTCCACTATACACAACGTACATATAACTAGCTTTGTAAAACGATGAATCATTAAGTAACAGTTACAGTCAAATGATTATAAAATCGTTTATGTTTCTTA